CTTAGAGAGGGACATCATGCTTGGGAGGGTGGAGGGACGGCGCAGGAGAGGAAGGCCCTCTATGAGGTGGATTGATTCAGTGACTGGGATAAATGGGATGGGAGTGTCGGAGACAGTGCGATTGGCACAGGACAGAGCGGAGTTTAGGGTTGTTGTACATAGGGTCGCAAGCGACTCGACGGCACATAACAACAACAACAACACAGGTTTTGCATGAGCACAATTTAAGTGTTCTGGGACTCTCATTCTTCTCAATGCTAGCTAGAATTTGTTAAGATTCTCACAGTCAGATGCCTTTGCATAGTCATTGAAACACAAGTAGACATCCTTCTGATATTTTCTGCTTTCAGCCTGAAAACATTCTGTTTTAGGTGTTTTGATTTGGAGGGGGGTTAGCTGTTTTTGAACAATTTTCACCAAGATTTTACTTGTTGTTATGTGCTGCCAAGTTGACTACAGCACATAACGACCCTATGCACAGTATCTCTGAACTCTATCTTATTCTGAGTCAATCTCATTGTCTCCAACACACCTACTCCCATTATCCTAGTTACTGTGTCGGCCATATTATCCAATGTCTTTCTCTCCTGTGGTGTTCCTCCTTCCTTCTAAACATGATATTCTTCTCCAAGGACTAGTTCCTCCTGGAAATATGCCCAACGTATGTGAGAAGGAGTCTCAAAATCCTTACCTCTGGGAGATATCAGTTTCACCCTCTCCACAAAAGACCTGTTTATGCTCTTGGGAGTCCACGGTATATTTAATATTCTTCTCCTACACCACAACTCAAAAGCATCGATGACTCTTCCGTCATTCTTAGTCATTGCAGCTCTGATCTATAGCAACTAACTGCAAAAACTACAGCCTGCATCAGGTGCACCTTAGTCTCTAGATTGGCATCAATGATCTTCAGCATTCTTAGAGAGGTCCCTGACAACAGATTTTCCCAACGCAATTTTTCTTTTTATTTCCTGAATGCGGGTGCCAAAAGTGTTGATTATGGACCCAAGCAAGTTGAAATCCTTAACAATCTCAATCATTTCTCCATCTATCATGATACTACCAATTGTTCTAGTGGTAAGAATCTTTGTTTTCTTGATTTTGAGCTTCAATCCATATTGAAGACTACAGTCCTTGACCTTCTGAAACAAACACTTCAGGTTCTCCTCAGTTTAGGCACTGGTGTGTCATTTGCATAGCACAAGTTGTTGATGAGTCTTCCTCCAATCCTGATGCCACATTCTTGCTCATAAAATCCAGCCTCTTGAATGATTTGTTCTACAAATAACTTGAAAAGGTTTGGAGACAGGACACATCCTTGACACATTCCTTTCCTAATTTTGAACCACATAATGTTTCCTTGCTCTGTTCTGAGGACTCCTTCCTCACCCAAATATAAATTTTGCATGAGCACAATCAAAAGTTCTGGGATTCCCATTCAGTTTAAGGTCAGCCACAATTTTTTGTGATCAACACAGTCAAATGTCTTTGTATAGTCAATGAAACATAAACAGACTGTCTAGTAATATTTAATAATTTCTACATTCTGTTGGGTCACCTTTTTTGGGAATGGGAACAAATATTGGCCCCTTACTTGGCCAGTCGCTGTCTTCCAGATTTCTTGGAACTGTCTGGCAAGCACATCTTAAATCATGCCAGTTGGTACTCCATCAATTCCTGGTATCTTACATTTTTGTCAATGCCTTCCTTGCAGCTTGCATGTCTTCTTTCATCACGACTGCTTAGTTCCAGATCACATGCTACTTCCTGAAATAGTTGTGTCAGTCAATACTTTCTGGTACAGTGACTACACATTCCCTCCATCTTCTTTTGATTTTTTATTAACATTATTATTGTTTCAGTAATAGGAGCTGTAGTGGCACAATTCTTACAGAGTGGTGCTACAAAAGCAAAAGGCAGCAGCATCTCTCTGGAAGCTTCCTTAAAAGAAAGATGGACGATCTCCCATGCAATTTACACTCAAAACTTACTGTGGTGAGTCAGAACTGACTCGCTGCTGTCTCACTATCAAGTTTTTGAAGGCTGCAAATTCCACAAGACAAATTGCCCTGTTTCTCCTGCACAGCTCCCTGTGCAAGTTACAGCTTCTCAAAAGACGCATGAGGGTTAGTGATAAGTCAATTCTGACTTGATAACAATGAGCTTAAGGCTTTGGATTCTTTTTAAAAACTGTGGTATTATGTTAAAGATCTTGTCAAGTATCTGTAAGTGATTCTTTGAAATTTTTTATTCAGAGAAAATCTAACGTAATGCCAGTCTTGTTGCCAAGGTTTTATTTTTTGCTTTGGAAAACACCATTTATTTGTTATGAAAATGATTTTGTTAACATGCAATTATTCATTTTCATAGAAAATATTTTAAATATTTCTCCCCTTCAATTTTATACAGTATTGCTATATACAGCCTACATAAACTAGTTTTCTGAGATCATCAGCAACTTAAAAATGTAAAAGGATTGGGAGACCAAAAAGTTTTAAAACTCCTGATCTAATAAATGACAGTAAGAAACCTGTTAACATATCTATCTGATTAAGTGCTTACATATCAGAATATTTTATTTACTTGTAAGCTTTTAATGTATCTTATAGGGGGCCCTGGTAACCAAGTGGTAGGAGGCTGTGCTGCAATCCCGAAGGCATGCATTTCGAATCCATGAGCTGCTCAGTAGAAGAAGGATGGCAATCTCCTCTCATGTGATTAACTGCCTCTGAAAACCCACTGAAGGATCAGCTATGGGTCAGTTGCAACTCAACGGTACACAAAAAAACAACAACAACTTTCTAAGAATTTTGTCTTACTGAAATAAGAATTTCTAGGAAATAACAGAATTATTCAATTCCTTTAAAAATAATAGAAAATGAAGTAATTTTACCTATATTGTACTGTGTTTTATATTTCCTTTTCCATATATATAATCTGATATCCACAGAGTAAATTATTACCAGGAAATCAAGAGAGTATTGTTTTTAAGTGGTTTGCTTATATGATTTACTAATTATACATGATATTTAGAATATACAAGAAAATTACTTAACCTGTAAACAACCTTTAGTATTCTAACCTCTATTCATGAAAGAAATTCCCATATTAGTATTGCTGTTCTTTGCCACTGAATCAGAACTGAATCATAGCTGACACTCCAGCAGGTTTTCAGAGGCAGTAAATTGCATGGGAGGAAATGAAACCATCCTTCTCCAGTGGAGCAGATGGTGGGTTTGATGAACCACCCGCCTTTCAGACTTCAGTGCAGCTGCTTACCAGTAGGCCACCAGAGCTCCCAAGTTAGCAGTTATACTTTTATAATAGTAATTTACCAACAATATAAGAAGTATAAAGCTCCCACTGTAGAAAGTTTCTATAAAATACCTTTTGTGTAGCTCTATGTCTTGAGGCAGGAAGCAGTTTCATAGTCTTCTGAGATGTCACACCTACCTAAAAAACATACCAAGACTTGTTGTCATATAATTTAAATTAGGTACACCAGAGATGAAAGAGTCGCCAATTTCCTATCATAAGCTTTATTTCTCACTGCAATTAATTAATGAATTACTAGTATGGTTGTCAATAGTTTGTCAAGTATTTAATTTTTCTTGAATCCACAATCAACACCCCTATGAAAGCAGCAGTCAAGTAGTAAAATGACATATCACACTAGGTAAAACTGCTACCAAGGACCTCTTTAAAGTGTATTGATGTCACTTTAATGAGTAAGATACATCTGACTAAATCCAGTTGCTTCATACGCATGTGACTGTTGGACAGTGAATAGGGGGAAATAAAGAAAAGTCAATGCCTTTGAAATTGTGGTGTTGGTGAGGAATTCCAATTACACCATCGTCACCCAAAGGACTAAATCTGAGAACAAGTACAACCAGAGTGCTCCTTAAAGGCAAGCATGGTAAGACATCATTTTATATACTTTGGAAATGTTATCAAGAGGGACCGATCCCTAGAGAAAGGTATTATACTTGGAAAAGTAGAGGGTCATATAAGGAGAGGAAGACCTTCAATGAGATGGACTGATACAATGACTGCAAGGATAGGCTTATGCATCACAGAAACTTTAAGGACAGGGCAAAACTGGGCTGGGTTTCATTTCATTGTATACAGAGTTGCTGAATGAGAGCTGATTAATGGCACCTAGCAACAACAATTATAAACTTATTTTCTAAGGAAATATACCACAAAAATGAGAATAAACCAACAAAAAAGGAAACTTCTGTAAATTTGTTAAGCAAAAAAAAAAAAAATTATGTGGCATTACTGATAAAGTGGTTCATAAAAAAATTCCTTCTATAAGTCTTCTTTCATAATTACAACTTGCTAAAGAGTTGGCTTTTTTAAAAAAATCCTTAGATTCATGTTCTTTAAAATGAAACAAAATTTGTGCTACAGAATAAAACATGACAACATCCAATCTAATAAAGGGTACAAATTAATTTACAAAAGGTAGGTTGCTCTGGCGGCCTACTGGATAAGGAGTTGTGATGTCATCCAAATGTATGAAGTTTGAATCTATCAACTGTTTCAAGGGCAATCTCCTGAGCATTTGTTGCTGTTGAGCTCAATTCATAGCAACTCCGTTAACAACAGATCTGACCCGTCTTATCTTACACCATCTTCATCATCCCTGACATACTCAAGAACATTGTAGCAGTCATTGTGTCAATCTACCTGGTTGATGTTCTTCTTCTCTTTTAATGATCCTCCATCTTTCCAAGCATGATGTCCCTGTCCAAGGAACAAACTCTACTAGCAGCATGCATGCCCTAAATATGTGAAACAAAACTTCATCGTTTCTGCCATTAAGAAGCACTCTCGCTATACTTTCTCCAAGACATATCTGTTTGTGCTTTTGGCAGTCCATGAGATACGCAGTATTCTTCTCCAATACTACAACTCAAAGGCATCAATTCTTCTGTCATCTATATTCACTGTCCAGCTCTCAGATGCGTAACAGGTGACTGAAAAGATCATGGCCTGAATCAAGTACACCTTCATCTCAAACTGGCATCATTGCTCCTCAGTAATTTGGAGAGATTCTTGATTACAAGACTTTCCCAGTGCAATACATCTGATTTCCTGACTGCTGGTACCAAGGGTGTTGATTAGGGATCCAAGTATGATGAAGTCACTGAAAATTTAATCTTTTCTCTACCTATCAGCATTTTGCCTATTAGTCCAGTAGGGAGAACTTGTTTTCTTGATGTTTAGAGGTAATCCACCTTGAAGGCTATAATCTTTCATTTTCTACAGCAAGCATTTCAAATCTTCAGCAAGTAAGGTTGTATCATCTGGCTAATAAAGGTTGTTGATGAGTTTTTTCTCCAATTCTGATGCCACATTCTCTTCACAGAGTCCAGCTTCTAAAACAATTTGTTCAGCATAAAGATTGATAGGTATGGGGAAAGGTTACAATCCTGACTCACATTTTCATTAATTTTGAACTATGTAGTATTCCCTTGCTCTGTCTGGATAACATCTTTAGTCTAGGTATTATAGGTTTTGCATTAGCACAATTAAGTCTTCTGGGATTCCCATTCTTCTCAATGTTATCCAAAATTTGTTATGATCCACACAGTCCAATGCCTTGTACAGTCAATGAAGCCCAAATAGATTTTCTTCTGGTATTCTCTGCTTCCATCTGACATCAGCAATAATATCCCTGGTGCCATGTCCTCTTCTAAACTCAACTTGAACTTCTGGCATTTTACAGCTTCTGTAAAGCCACTAGAGGTCTGCTACAAGTCATTTCCAACTAGAAGGCACATAACCACAACATTATCAGGGAGGATGAAGACAGTAGTTTGTTCATCAAAGAACTTTCACTAGGAGACATAGTTAGGTAAGAACAGGACAAATTGAGAGAGAAGTTGGAGGGGGGGAAATTCAGATCATAAAAAAAAAAAATTGCATTTAATATATATCCATAGTTTTACTTTGTATTTTTTGGGTGTTTAACTTTTTTTTTTTTTTGAGTGATTAACTTTTTAAAGTAGTAAGCTGTTTATTGAAAACAAATGAACCAAGTAAATCTCAAATTTACTGCCTCTGAGTGGGAAGTAATTTGCAGCAAATCCTCCAGCAAGTTGTCAGAGACTGTAAATGGAAGATCATGCACTTGTGAATCTACTGTGGATTTGAACTGCCAGAGTTAGGGCTGGCAGCATAACTCTCGAGGCAGTATACCACGAGCACTCCTTTAGCTGCTCAGATATGTATTCCTGGAATATCAACCTAGCAAATGATGGTTTGGCCCAAGGTGAAAGTGGAGGACAGTAGCTCAATTAGGAGGCTAGTTCAGTTAACCAAGAAAATGTCTGTGAGAACTTCAACTGAGAGTAATTGGCATGAAGGGGATATAGAGAATGAAAAAATATTTATGAGAGAACAGAATTCACCTGAACGTGGAGAGTAACCTGAACTTGAATGTGGAAAGTCAACTGAAGGTGGAAGCAGCTACATGGCTCCCTGATTCCCACCAGCTTGGAGGAAATGTTCTGACTGGACAAACATTTGCAATATTAACCTAAATGGCATGTTTGGACATTGGGGTGAGGGAGCTTATCAGGAACTTCATTCTGGATCTATGTTTTTGAGGAGTCTGAAGAAAATCCTGAAAGTGGAGGAAAAGAAAGAACATCATTAGCTTCAGATTTCTAGACTTCGTGTCCAGTATTGACTCTCCATCATTTTTCGCTATTAAGCCGAAGGCCAGCCGTATCCGCGAGATGACTCACTAGGCAACATCCTTAAGAAGATTAAATGCCTAGGGGAAACAAAAACCGAAGTTCACAAACGCGTTTTCACTGCTTTTACTAGGAGCTGGCTGCTGCGGTCCACGTCAAAGTCAGGCTCAAGGCTCCGACGCTGGGATGATGGTCGCGGGCTGAGATGGAGAGTCGGAAGCCACAGGCCCTCGGGTGGCTGCATCCGTGAGAACGGCCCTAAGGACGCGAAATTTCCAAGCACCCTCAGCAGGCACCAGCTCCACGGGGCGAACAGCACTTCTCCCCAAGTCCCCAAGGGCCGTCACACTCGAACTAGACCTGCCCATTCCCCGAGAACGGTCGCCCGGAGGGCGGTTTTGGGCCAGGCTCCTTCGCCCCCACACCCAGCGGCCCCGCAAAGTCTGTGGAAGAACAAATCCTCTCAGGGATCAGGGTTCAACCTTGAGCCGCCCGCACACACACCCCCACCGCCCGCCCCGCTCGGATTTACCTGTAAATAATCTGCTCGGTTTAAATTCAGTTCCATGATGGCTGGACCGGCACAACGGGCAGCGCCAGGCCAAAACGACAGGAAAAGGTGCAGCCGACACACCAGCTTGGTCCCGCCACTCAGGTCCCCCCTTAAAACCCTCTTAGGAGAAAAGCCCGGCTTCAGCGTCTTGGCAGGAGATGCGAGGCCGTGGCGTCGAAGTAGAGGCGTCTAGCGTGACGTCAGCACGCTCACAAGCGAGGTCCGTAAAAATGCGCCTCCGGGCCCTCCCGACGGCCCGCCCACTGCCTTAGCCTGTTCCAATCAGAGGCCGAGAGCAACCCAGCACGAAATCCAGGAGACCAGGAAAGAGATGTTTCCAGGGATACCAAGAGACGCATTCTGGACTCCTTATAGACTATTACTGTGGAGAATTGCTTCTTGGATCACAGGTGTGTGGCTCCAGAGAGATGTTAGGCAGTTTGAATGCACCGCTAGAAAGGGAAAGATTAGAATCCAACACTGTTAGCTTACAACAACAATTCTTAAATTTTGACCTCAAAACTCTTTTTGACCTTTGCAAAACTCTTAAAGTTAGTCAGGACCCCCAAAGAGTTCTTGTTCGTTTATCTATTAATATTTATTAGAAATTATAGCTGAAAAGAAATGCTTGAAGTTAGTTTAAAACAAATTCATTCCATAGATGACATTTTAATGGAAACATCCTTTTGAGAATAACAACTGAAAAAAAGGAGCACTGTTTATAATTTTAGTTAATGTTTGCCTGAGTTATAGTAGGAATCTCAGATCTGCATTGCATTCTATTTCTCACATTATGTTATGTTGTTGAAGCATATGAAGGGGAAACTGGTCCAAACTTATTAAATAGTAGTTTTTAAAAGGCACATTGCAACGTGAAATCTGGTTCCATTATACAAATCAATCACAGTAGAAATTTCTTGATATGTGTAGGTAAACTGTCAAACTCCTGATAGATAAAAATATTTTCCAAAATTATAATTTTTACTTGAGCACTAAAATTTTAAGCACTGGAAACATATATCAAAACAACTGGAAAATTGGGTTTTTTTTAAACTGATAGGTCTCTTCTGGAATGAGAAAGTGTTGCTATTTATCAAGTTTGAATAGTCTTTTTTGAGTATTCTTTGAAATAAAATACTGTTCATGAAAAATGTAGAGCATTCAGCTAGCAATCATCACTGCATTTCCTAAGACAATATATTTCAGTACTCAACAGAAGTGCTTTATGTATACATGCCATGTTGTCATATTTTTAAAGACAAGTACGTGAGAGTCTTAAAATTAACTTTTACTACTCCATTAAAGATATGAAATATAATTATATGAAACTTGGCTTTTTCCTTCCAGGATGAAGGAGTATGGTGACTGATACAGTTTGGAGACACTGTCTTGACTCATGCTCAGATACTACCAATTTAACCACTGGTGCTTCTATACCATCAGTGCAAATGTTAACACAGTGAAGAAAGTAAACAATGCCTTTGTGTTATTATGAAAATAGTTTTAAAATTGGAAACAACCTGAAAACGCCTGAGAGTTCCTCTAACGCCATAAGAATTGGCAAACCTACTTTAAGAACCAGTGCAGATATGTATAGAAAATTGTATAGAAAAACACTATTGATTCTGATGTCCTTGTTCTGGGATGGAGCCTTGACACCGGAATTTTCAAAACTTTCTGCAAGTGATTCCAATCTCCTCAGTTTGTCTTTTGAGTCTGACAGAGGAGGCAATGGAAGTGATCAGAGGAGTGAAGGATTTCAAGAACTGGTCACAACTCATTCTTCTTACTTCCAGAAAAGTGTTTTCCTCACAGTCTCCCAGACAAGCCAAGTATACATTTGTTGGGTAATATTGGGGAGGCAGAGAGAGCCTCTGACCAGGACAGATATAGCCTAAGCTCCAGATAAGTGGAAGTTTCCCAACAGCTTTTATGAGGGGTAGAGAAAGCTCCCCTGTGTTTGGCTGTACCAGCCTGAGAAAACACACCACCTGGAAAGACAGCTGGCGCATCTGTTGAGCTGGGAGTGGTCTACAGGAGGCTGAGGTTCTCCTAACCAATCTGCATGTGCCATCTCTGTAAACCTACCCTATCCTGTCTTCCTGTTTATATAAGTGCACTGCAGATACCAATAAAATTGATCTGGATTGACAAAAACAAACAAACAAAAAAAAAGAATCATTGCCGATTGCTCTGAAAGGGATCACAAAGGAAGGTCATGGATAGAGTGGGAGAAAAATATAGAACAAAATTTTTAAAAAATATAGAACAAAACTCAAAATCATAAAAATGGTCAGGCTTACTAGTCTAATGAAAACTAGTGGAACCTTGAAGACTGTGGCCTTTGTTGATGTTGTTATTAGGTGCCTGCTAGCCAACTATAACTTACAGTGACTCTATAGATGACAGGTCTGAACTCTGCCCTGTCCTGTACCATTCTTATCTTTTCTGCCACACTGGAATCCATTGTTAAGGTCTCTGTGTCACTCCATTTTGTGGAAAATCTTCCCCTTATTCACTGAGCTTCTACTTTCCCAAGCATGATGTCATCTTCCAAACACTGGCTCCTCCTGCTGACTATATGTCCAAAGTACATGAAAAGTTTCACCATCCTTCTGTCTAAGGAGCTCCCTAGCTGCACTCCCCAAGCCTATTATGTTCTTTTGGCAGTCCTCCACTTTCCATCTTTAGTACTCTTCTCCAGCATCACAACTCAAAGGCATCAATCCGTCTTTTGTCACCTTTATTCACTGTCCCAACTCTCATGTTGTTGTGTATTGTTGAGTCAGAACTGACTAGTAGCTGACCCTCCAGTGGGCTTTCAGAAGCAGTTAGTCACATGAGAGGAGATTGCCCATCTTTACTCGCAGAGCAACTGGTGGAGTTGAACCACGTGTCTTTGGGATCACAGGAAAGCTGTTTACTACTAGGCCACCAGCACTCCAGATGCACCTTAGCCTTTATACTCTGAAGCTGTCCCTGACTTTACATACCTTTCCAGTGCAATATGTCTTTTGATTTCCTCACTGCTGGTATCAAGGCTACTGACTGTGAATCCAAGTAAGATGAAATCGTTGACAATTTCTATCTTTTCTCCATCTATCATGATGTTTATTGAGGACCCTGTTCATGAAGGGGACTATAATGAGCTCCTCCAAGGTAAAGGTAGTTTGGAATTCCCCCCCCTTCTGTACTTCTGTATCAAGAAAGTCATGGACAAGTTCAGAGAGAGAGAGAGAGAGAGAAAAGAAGAAGAAGAGGAGGAGGAGGAGGAGGAGGAGAAGAAGAAGAAGAAGAAGAAAAGAGGAGGAGGAGGAAGAGGGAGGGAGGGAGAGAGAGGAAAGGAAGGAAGGGAGAGAGGGAGGAAGGAAGGAAGGAAGGAAGGGAGGGAAGGAGGGAGGGAGCGAGGGAGGAAGGGAGGAAGGAAAGAAGGTAAAAATCACTGGGATTTCTTTCCTTATATAATTGACAGTGTCAAGCCACAGGTGACTACTCGGGATCTTGGACTCTTTCTACCTTAACTTGAGGGCCGGCTTTCAGCCCCTTAGTAGACCTAGTCTGCAGTCTGTTGATCTTTGAGTTCCGCAGTTTGTTTTTTGAAAGAGTGATTTGTGCTTTGAACGGTAACCTGGAACATCTCTTCCCACGCATTACAGCTGGCATTTGGGCTGTCATTATGATTTAGCATCTTTGCCAGCCACAAATTCTCTGACATACTTCTCAGAGGCTCCAGGTAGCTAGAAGGAGGTGGCTGGATTTTGGCCCTCTCATATCCCTCTCAGAGATTGTGTATTTGTAGCTAGAACTATACTGCTTTGCATTGCAAATCTCCTTGTTTTTAAAGGGTCTGCTCTCCGCTGAAAAAGGCTCCTTCAGGTTGTCTTTGTGTTCCTCTCCATACAGACAGGGTCCACCATCCATCTTATTGCTGAAGGTGACAGAGATCTGAAACTATGCCCAGCTGGCTGGACTCCTCCCACCCCAAGGCCACATGACCTCTAGCTTGTTTGGTGGGAGTGGGGTGGGTCCTTTGGAATCAGATTGGAATTCAGATCTTGGCTCTGGCACCTCTAGGCCTTAGTTTACCTTTCTGGAAAATGGCCTAATTGAAGCTCATCCTCACAGAACTGTAAAGCTTCTGTAAATGAGAATGTGATACGGACCGGCCCCGTGTTTGGAACACATTGATTCCCTCGCTTAGGATATCTCTTTGCTCCTTCAGGCTTCCTTGTGGGTTCAGTTGGTCAGAACTACCTTACTGCTCAGGGATGAGATAGCACACTGTGGATTGGGAAACCAAGGCCCAGAGGGAGGAAGTGGCTTGCCTGGGACAATCCTTGCAGGAGGCAGTTGACAGCCTAACTGACCTATCTGGGGAAGTGTTAAGTGAACCTAGAAGTTGAATTCACTACTGGAGGAAGGAATAGTAGCATGTGGCCTAACTCAAATGTAGGGATCTAGCGAGCTCTGGTGGCCTAGTGGCAAGAAGCTGCAACTACAAGCTCAGAGGTGCACAGTTCAAATCCACCAGATGCTCTGCTGGAGAAGGAGGAACAATCTCCTCCTGTACCCATCAGATCTGATTTGACGGTACACACACAAAATAATGAAATTTTTTAAAAAAAGTAGGGATCTCTGATGTAGGCAGGTTAGTGTAAGGTTGCCGAGGAAGGACAGAACCCAGTTCAGGCCAAGAAAGACAGCTTACTGAGGAGAAACGCAGGACTGGCTCTCAAGCAGAAAACCAACCCCCACTATAAGTCAGGGAGGGGTTTTATATTCTCTTACAAGGAACTTGGGGAAGGGCATGCTCACAGATGTTTTCTACAAGATAGGGAAGTGGGCTGGGATCTCAGATAACTATTTCTGGGAAAGGGGGTAATGTAGTTCCACATCGTTGAGAGAAAAAGCACAACTGCTGCTTCCTGTGAATGGATTCTTCAGTTGCCATTCTGGGAGAGGAAGGAAAGGCCTCTGCAGTCCTAATAGTTGGAACATCTTTTCTCTGTACTCTG